TATATATATAACATATTCTTATAGCTCATCTCGAGAGTTTTCCAAAACAATAAATTAAAATATTTTTCCATTAAGTATTTTTTGAGTTATGAGGCTCGAAAGTTACAGCATCATCGGCATTGGCGTTATTCAAGGTGCTAAAACGATGGCTAAAAATCTCTTGAATATTATTTAGAAACATAATCTAGATAACATTGTCAAGATCAAGGCTATTGGAGGTTGTACCTCTTATTTTCATTTGTAAAAATGAATTTTTTATTGCGTTCCATGCCAACACTTTATTGCGTTAATAATAATTAGGAGTGCATCATGCACTCGTATATACAAGCACTGAATTTATACTGAAGGACTTCGAAATTGCTTTAAAATTTTAGGAACATATTCCCGAAGAGTTGTATTATTGGTTTATCGAAAAAAAAATCGATTTTTTTTAACCTCTAATGTAGGAGACTACCCTCTTAAACAGTACATTTTACAGAAATATTATAAAAATTTTATCAAACGCTCCATTTATCTCTCGGTGCATGATTTTAACTCCTCGGTTTTTCTCTTCCTTTTTATAATGATTTATCTTCTCTTAATATAAATTTCTCTATTAAAACTGAAAGCTAATTTCTACGCTCTCTGTGATAAATTGTCTTGTGATAAGTGTCTCTTTTTATACGAATGGCTCTAAAGATACTAATGTTCTTTCTTCTACTGTCGGTGCAGACGTCTTTTCTCCGGACTTTAAGCTCAATCTTATGTATCATTTCCCCTTTCAAACCTCCGTTTTTACTGTAGAAACCCGGTATACTTGAAGCCAGCTTTACCACTAAAGACCACAGAATAAATTTTTTATTTGTTTGGACTCTATATATGTACTTGAAGCTTGCCTCTTCAAGAACATTCAACGTTAACTACTTTAGTCTGTTAAACAAAACTGCTATAAGTAATCAGCACGACACTTTCTCTAAAATATTAAAAAATTAATTAAAAATATGTAGTCGGCCGGAACTCTGTTTAAAAATGATTGTAGAGCATAGAACTCTGTTAGAACTAACGGGAACTATTGTCAAAAGTAATGATATTTTTTTTGTACTTTAAAAAAAAAGTATTATGCTACGTTTGCGAAGTTAGCATGCCATATTTTTATATTTGATTTTTTTATAAAAAATGCGGAACTTTTTGGTATTTTTATATAGAACTGTAGAACTAATGAAAAGTGCTATTGAAACTGTCATTTTTGTTATATTAATAAAATGTTGTACTAACTTCACAAATCCGCAGACCGATACTTTTTTTTGCCACATTCGTTCATTTCGTACAAAAACGCGTCAAATGAGCCTAACTTCATCAAAATCGATGAGAAAGACAGAATTCTTGAATATTACCGAAGAGTAACTCTTCTATTTCCAGTTTTAAACGCTAACGATTGTATAATGTGTACACTTTTGACGCGGAGTTCCGTAATCCCGTTCGACGAGTACTCTGCCGTAGCGAAAGGGTTAAGTATGGCAAATGTACTATCTCAGCGTGAATATTTCGTGATGAATAACAGGGCTTGGCGTTCACTCTGAAAGAAAGAATAGCTCTCGGAATACATGGACTACAGCCTCCCAGATTTAAGACGCAAGAGGAACAGCTGGCTCTATGCAAAGCTTCAGTAATGAAATATTCAGAGGATCTGAATCGATATTTGTATCTTGTGGAACTTCAAGTAAATAATACCTTTTGCAACATTTTATTATAGAGAATTTGTTCTTAATTTCTTTGAAATAATTTCTAGGAAAGGAACGAAAGATTATTTTTTCGCTTGTTAAGCGAAAATATCGAGCAAATGATGCCAATTGTCTATACACCTACCGTTGGTTTGGCCTGTCAAAAATTTGGTGTGATATATCGTAGACCTCGCGGGCTTTTCATTACTATATACGATAAAGGCCATATTTACGAGATCTTGAATAATTGGTTAGTATAAAAAAATACACAAAATATTATTGTTGTATCTGTAAAAAAAGATGAAACGTTTGCAGCCTGTCTTTTATTGTTCTCTTAATAAGTCATACTTTGATTAATCAAAAAACAATAATTAGTTAAACTGTACCGCTATATGAATAAATTAAATAAGTGAAGAAAGGCCAAATACAAGACTAGATCTTGTACTTAATAATACTTACATGTAAATTTTAAAGAAATGCTAGAGTGACTAAGTTATTGAGACATTATAGTTCTATAAAAATCTCCGAATTGAACGGAATTAAAAATCCTTTTACAAGATTAAAGGAGAGGCCCTTTAGCACAGTACGATACATACACTCACATACATCCACTCACATCGACCAGTACCTAGTAACACTGCTTTACCAATGGGAATATTTTACTTTAGATAGTAATAATGTAATCTTCTTATTTGGGACTCTCCCAAATGCAACAACAAAAAAATCTAAAAAACCAGGGCGAATAAGAGCGTGATAGTTAGTACGCAATCTTAAATTTTATTCCAAAAAATAATACATTTTAGTTTACTTTGGAACCATCTTCAGCAATACAATTTCAAAATATCAATCCTTTCATGGCCGAGGAAAAAATCACCATCAGATTAACAGATTTGATTCGACATCGATTTCATTGTCATTTCTTACTGGGTTGACGACTTTTATGAAAATAAAGTCTTGTTTGTTAAACGAATTTTACTTTATGATTGTGTTTCAAATCTGATAAGTAATAATCAGCAGTTTATATTACATAACTGGAAAATGTCTTTAAAATTTACATATAAATATTATTATATATTAAGTAATAATCGGCATAGTTTATATTACATAACTGGAAAATATCTTTAAAATTTATATATAAATATTATTATATATCATTCATGTATAAATATTATTTAATAACATCATATATTATTAGACATCAAGATTTAGCCTCGATTGTATTTGAATCTTCTGTACTCATTTGATTTGAAAAGTATAATCGTTATTGTAAGGAAACAGATTGTAAGGAACACTCTATAGAGTTTAAACGGAAAGCACGTGTTTCGAATACGTTTGTTAAAAATGGAATTTCATATATTGCACGTTTTGCTGCGTTGTAACGCAAGAAAGAAATTAGTG